TCAGGCGCCATAGCTAGGGCTCCCAACTTCGCGCTTCGCGCTGCGCGAAGCGCGAATAACTTCGCGCTCTCGCGCCGCCCCCCCAAAGGGAGAAAAGGAGGACGAGGAGGAGGGGGAGGAGAAACGAGGACCGCGAAGCGCGAAGCGCGAATAACTTCGCGCCCTCGGGGGAGCCCTTGCTTTCCAGCTGCTGACCGCTGGGCACCCCTTTGTCTTTTGCATGGGGCGCCGTCCTCTGTATGGGCCACCGCCTCCGCTGGAGGCATCGCTGCCTGCTGGTCACGCAGGCGGCTGGCAGCAACCCATCGGCGCATCGCGCTGTTGCTGCCAGTGGGGAGCTAGGCCGCTCCGTGAGGCCCACAGTGCCACGTGCGGATGTGGCATCTGTCCACCTTTCTCGCACGCCTCGAGGCCTCGCGCGCGCGGGCCTGGGCCTCCTTTCGTCCTTCGGGCCGCCTGCTTGATCTCCTCCATGCTATCTGAACAGGCCAGACGGTTCTGGGATCCACCTTTCCGTCTGGTCTTCTTAGTTGCGAGGGTGCTGGTGCGGATGTGGCGTCTCGCCACCTTTCTCGCTCTCGGCCTTTCAGGTTATTCGCTGCTGTCGTTGCCTGTTTCGTTGGTTTGGGGTGGGTCAGTTCTTCCAGCGTTCTGCCTCTTGTCTGGAGGCAACGCTGTCCTGCTGGTCTGTTGCGCGCTGTTGCTGCCAGACTGGGAGCCTGGCCGCTCCTCGAGGCCTGGCCGTTGGCTCGTGCGGGCGGGGCGTCTCGCCACCTCTCTCGCGCGCCCTGTCGGACCTCGCGCCCTTCCGCATGGGCCTCTCTGTTCCCCCGCATGTTCCTCTGCATGAGCTGCTTGAGAACGCCAAGCCGATGTGGTCTCCCATCTTTCGCGTCTGGCCTCCTTGCCGTCTGCGGGCTGCTCGCGCGGATGTGGCGTCCCGCCACCTTTCTCGCACGGAGCCTTCCAGAGGCCTTCAATGCTGTCATCCTCGGGGGGAATGGGCAGTCGGTGGGGTGGGTCGCGGTCGGTTCTTTTGCTAGGTGAGCGTGGGGTTCTAGGTCGCAAGTCGCGGCCTCCATGCGCCTACTTCAGGTGGGGTCCGCTGCGGCCCCACCTCGCACCGATATGGCTAGGGGTCACAGGGCCCTCGGTGGGTGCGAACCCCAGGCTTTGTGCTTGGTGGTGCTCGTGCTGGGCTGAATCGCATCTGCCCTGTGCTCCGCCTGGTCGGCGTTCGGGCGAGCCACTCCTCCGACATGGGAATGGTGGGGGTGGCGAGCTAGGGCGGGCCGCGGGGGCGCGGGCGGTGGCCGCCTTCCCTCCCCCCCCCCTGCTCCCCCACCATCCTCCCTGGCGGGCGCGGGCAATGCTCGTCCTGTCTCCCCCCCTTCGAGCCCGTCTCGAGATGTGATTCTTGTCCGTGCAGGGCATCCGCGACGAGGTCTGTGGTTGCTGGGTGCTGTGGTTGGGTGGTAGGTTGAGGTGGAGGTCGCGCTTGCGTGCGGGACGCGTGCTTACGTGGCGACTTGTGCCTGAGGTGTTCCCACGCATTTGGGGCTTCCTCAGGACTTTGCGTCCTAACGCCTGCAGCTCAACGCGGCGACGTCGCCTGAGTTATTCCCACACGTTCGGGGCTACCTCCGGATTTTGTGTCCCAACGCCACAGTGTACAGGCCACGCCCTGGTGGTGCAAAGCTGTTGTTTGACGTGGCCGTCCGTCTTTGCTGGTGTAGGCGTGGGATGCTGGTGGGGGGTATGGAGCGGTGAGTGGGCATCGTGCCGGCATGCTGTGGGTCATTCTGTTGTACCGTGGTATGTGCGCAAGTGTCCAGGGATGTGACCGTTCTGAACTGCACGATGCACCTTGGCCGCCAGCTCCGTTTCTGTTACGTTGGTCGGATGCTGGTTTGTGGAGTGGTAGTGGTTGTTGCTGTTGTGAGGGTTGGTCGGGTTACGTAGTGCGTGTTGGTCGGTGGTTTGATTGTGCTGGTAGGTAGGTTGGGTGGTTGTTGAATTGGCTGGTTGGTCAATTTCGCGTTGCTAGTGCGTGGCGTGGGGCGTCGAAAAAAGAGGACGCGCTGCGAGTTCAGGTTTTCCGCTCCAGACCTCACGGCCTGACTGAACAGGAGCTCGCGCGCAAGGGTACAAGGGGCGCGCCGTCAAGATCGCAGCAGAGCAGTCCGAGATGGGGTGAAAGGGGGTTGAGGGAGGTGGCCACTGGTTGAATCGGGTCGGTGGTGGCTGTGGTGGCGGTGGTGCTTGCCAGGCGTCAGCCCTGGCCCATTCCCGAGCCTCGTGCAGGTCGAGGTTCTTGATGGTTCGTCTAGGGTGGGTGCTGTGATGGTCGCTGAACGTCTCGCGTGTCAGATATGGGTCGAGGGACTGGTAGAAGTGGAGGCAGTCGGGCTCGAAGTGCCAGCGTCGGTCATATGAATTTGCGGCGAACCTCTGCGCCACTTGGGTGGCTAAGGCTTCCGCTATCGCTTGGCGCATCATGGGCGGGTATTCCGTGGCGGCACTTGTGCTCCAGCTTCCCTGCTCGCCCACGCCTGCGAGCTCCTGGTGGTGGCGTGCGCTGTGGAAGCATCTCCCAGCACCTGGGAGGCTTCGGACTCGGAAGCGTTCGTGCAGAGCAGGAAACGCCACCGCTAGGAGAGTGGCAGTCTGCTTAGAGGGTGCTCTGCAGATGCACTGGTCGAGCGTGATGGTGGCGACGTTGGGTTGAGCTGCTAGGTGGGCGGTCTCTGGCAACCGCCAGCTGCTGGGCATGTGCTGCTCTCGCGGTTCGGCAGGATGCTCGAGAAGCCCAAGTATGTCGTACACTGTGCAGGCGTAGAGGAACCCTGTGTGCGATATAACCGGCTGTCCAGTCTAACTCGCTCTGCTTCTGCCCTTCGAATATGCCGAAGGCCTCAGGGTTGAGTTCCCGAACGGAGGTTGAATCCACCCCCGTCCTTCTTTGAGCATTTCACTCCAATTAGCCACTGAGGTCTCGTTGGCTAAGTCGCCGGAGGTCGCGTCGTTGGCGACGTTTAGTGGCAGTGCGTATTCCGAGTGGCTGCTAGCTACCGGTAGCTGTTCGTACCAATGTTGCATGTCCGATAGCCGCCGTCGCCCACTGAACAAGTTTAGGGCGTACACGGTGGGTGCCTGCGGTCGGCGTGGGGTCTGAGAGATGGGTGGCGGCGGGTCGCCGTAGCACAGGATGGCCATGCTGGCGTTGTCGTCCGAGGGGCCGCTGTCGTCGTCAAGCTCTGGTGGTTGGACTTGTTGGGATGGTCGCGCGGCCCAGTCGCTGGGCCGTCACGCTTGTCGGTTCTGCTGTTGCTGCCGTCGGCAGCCGTCTCCGCATGTGGGCGGCGCAGCGCTGACCTTCAGGAGGTGCTTGACGATGCGGTTGGTAGTGTGGAAGTCGCGTCCGCAGTCCAAGCACAGAGTGCCTTGTACACATGTGGCTGGATGGTTGGCGTTGGCATGGTGCTGGGTGATGTGGGCTCGAAGCCGCTGCTTGGCAGGTTCAGTGTGCACACCCTCGTAGCATACGTAGGTCGTGGCGTGCTCTGGCTCTTGCCCGTTGAATGCTGGGATGACGCGGGTGTGGGTCCAGGCGGCGATCCGCTTCCGCCATCGTTTTAGGTGGTCGTCGTCATATGCTGCAAGTCGTGCTCTATGTATGTAGCATCTTCTTGGCGTGGTTGACGACCTTCGCTCGGTCGGTGCGGGCCCAATCTTTCCAGTAGTCGATGGAGTGATGGCTAGCTGATTCGCAAGGGTCAGTGTGTTTACGGAGCCTTGCGGTGTCGCGTCGTACTGCCTCCGCCCAGCCGCCCTTGGCCTCCCACGCCTCCGCTAGCAACCTCCGAAGGTAGATGGGCCCGTGGTTGACTACCCTCGCGAAGAGGCGGAGCCGCTCCAGGGTCAGGTGGGCTTAACTGGTGGGCCGCTCGAACCCCTCTAAGATCTGGCAGTTGCTCGCCAACTTGTCGCGTTTCTGCGTCCATTTATTGCCCCGTGCGGCAGCGTAGTTGGCGACATACTGGGGTACGAACTTACGGGCGTCGGAGGGTCCGGGCGGCGGCCAGGTGCCCGAGTTGTAGGCCAACTGAGAGAGCATGATGGAGTCCGCGAGAGCAGCCTTGTCGTGGGCCGTGAGTTGCGTGCGCTTGTGCACCTCACGGCGTAGTGGGATGGTCGTTGCTGCTGCCTTGGTGGCCTTGTGGACGACGTCGGCTCCTGGTGAGCCGTCGTCAGTGGCCATCTTGCCGAGGAGGCGGTGGTGCCTGACGATCTCGACGACGCTGCTGGCCACTGGAAACTCGATGTGCATCGACTCCCGCTGGTAGAATAGCTCCACTTGGGTCTTGTGGCCAGGCCCGTGGAAGCTGATCAGCACCTCAGTCTTGGCCAGCCTGAGCTTCATGCCGAATGTGGCGGCGGCCAGGTAGACGCTCTCGCAGATGACGGCTTGCAGCTCATGGTGGTGGTCGTCGTCGCCTTCGCATTAGAATGCTTCGTCCATAGGGTTCGCCGCGGCGGTGATGCCTTTCCGTCGTAGGAGGGAAGTCAGCATCCCCTGGACCCTGGAGAGCATACATTGAAACCCGCATCTGCAAGAGGCACGCCAGGCCTTGTGCCTTTCCTGTGTATGATCACCGCTGCACTCTGCCGATGCGATGTCCATCTATTGCGGTGCCCCTCCGTGACGAGGGCAGACAGGTGGGAGAAATCCGTCGTGCTGTCAAGGAGCCCAGGGGCTTCGAGGAGCCGCTGCAGCTGCGGCGCGATCCACGCGGACACCTCGATGCTGCCGAGGACGCCCTCAAGTTCGTGCTCTTCCCCAGGCATCTGGTGCATGAACTGCAGCAGTGCGCTGTAGCATGCCTCCGGGAGGTCGTACATGCCCACGACGTAGGAGCGCCCCTGCCTCTAGGCCCTCTCCATAAAAAAAAGCCAAGTCGCGAGGGCCGTCATGTCTGCCCCTCGCCCTGGTTGGCCACCTGTCTGGACGTCAGAACAATGCAGCCGTTGAGCACCGTCCAATAGAACATGTGGTGGTGCTTGCCCAGCACACTGTTCAACATAATCTCCCTGTGGGCTTGCAGGGTGCGCTCGTAGCCCTTGCCCTTAGGGGTGGCAACCATCTCCTCCCTTGAATGCGAGCGGCTCGCGGACTGTGACGGCGGCTTTCTCGGAGAGCGGGCGCAGCATATCTGCGCACTGGCGGGGCGCTGTGCGCAGCAGGGCGCTGGTGAGGCCGTCTGGCCCGCCCTTGGGGCCTGGCGCCTCCGAGCGCATCTGGTAGCGGCTCGCGCCGCATGGCGACGCCGCCTCGACTTGCAGCTCAACCTGGAAGAACTTGTTGTCGTTGTCCTGATTGTACTTGTCGGCTAGCTGCTGGGCCGTGATAACCCTGCCCGCTTGGGTGGCGGCGAAGTGCTGCATCCCGTGGTTGGCGACGTCGTCGGAGGCGCTCAGCACCCGGCCGTCTGGCCCCAGTCGGCGTGGAAGGCCCGCCTTGCAGCGCGGTTTCTTGCCGCCGAAGCGCAGCGGTGCTCGGTGCTGCTGCCGTAGGCGTCGCTCTTGGCCTGGGCGCCCTTCGCTGCGGCCGCGAGGGCGGACAGGAAGTTGCGGCGGCCGCGCTCGATGACGTAGGCCAGCGGTGGGCCTGTCTCGAGCATGATGGCATGCAGCGCCAAGCCGTCTTCTGACAGCGGAGAGACCCAACTGATGAAATTCGCCGCTCGTGTCTGGAACCAGTAGATGGCGTGGCGCCAAGCCGCCTTCTGACAGCGGAAAGACCCAACTGATGAAATTAGCCGCTCGTGTCTGGAACCAGTAGATGGCGTGGCTGATGGAGTCGAGCTCCGTCGCAATGTAGTTGGCAACCTCTCTTAAAGTCCCATCCGTGATGGACTTGGCGGGGGCGTAAAGCCTGCTAGGTTGGTTGTCGGCGATGAGGCCGCGCTTCAGGTCCTCAAAGAGGCACCGCGCGCGGATGATGCTCATGGTACGCAGCGCGATGTCGGGCTTAACTGTCTTTTTGTCGCATGCCCGTAGGCTTGTAGGGCTGCTTCTTCGATGGTGGTCGCGGCTTGGTGGCAGTGGTCGTTGATGCCACAATTAAAGGGTACTGGTGGAGCTTGCTCCAGTAGGTGTTGGAAGCATGCTGTGGCGTCTGGGTCGGCGAACTTGGAGTTGTCTGGGGTGAATTCGCCCCTGGTCGTCTTGCCGCGGATCTGCCGGCGCATGGTGGCAAGGACAAGGATGCGGCCGTCTGCTGTAACTCCTTTGTCGAACCATGAGTCGGTGATGACTGCGAGCACATGCTTTGCTAGGTGCTCCAAGATCACGGTGCAGTCGAGGCGGTGGCGCTGGCCTCTCGAGGCCACGTGCGCGAACGATGCCGAGCCTCTGTCCTTCGCAGTGTTGACGACCTCGAGGTAGTGCGCCGCTGCGAAGTTGAACAGCCTAGCGCCCGTCTCGTTCATACGTTCTGGGAAACCACCGCTTCCGACACCGGCGCTGGTAGTCTCGCCAAATCTTCATTTCATGCCGCCCATCACGATGTCGATGGAACATGCGCTGGTGAGGCGGGAGAGATGATCCCAAAACTCATCCTTCTCGGCCCTGTCCGTCTCGTCGCGTGGCGCATGCACCGATGCGATGGTGATCTTGGCGGTCGGGACTTCGGTTCTTAGAACCGAGATGCGGTCCGGCTGGCGGAATAGCAGCGTCTTCTTGGGGTCCAGCGTCTGGGGCTGGCCTTGAACTGCGAAAGGAAAGGTCGCGTTGACCCAAATGGCACAGCCCTTGCCGGGGTCCTGGCAGCCCGAGGAGCAGCAAGTGCACTGGCCCACTCGCTTCACCTCCCCGTCCGAGATGGTATGCTGGAGGGCGACCACGTGGACGCCCATGTCGGCGAACTGGGCTGCCAGGTTCAGCCTCTTGTTGATGGTGGCTCCTAGGTCATGACCGTAGGCTGGCCGGCGCCCTGCCCTTCTTCCGCCCCTGCCGTGGGTCTCTTGCATGGCCACCTTCGCCTGCAACGACCTAGAGTTGTAGGTGCACAGCTCCAGGAATACTTCCGCCTTGATCTTGGCGTCTCGCTGAAGCCGCTGGACCGCCTCTGGGCTGGCCTTGCGCTAGGTGACGGGGACCGCGAACTGGCCGTCGACAGTGGGCGAGTAGGCTGCGGCCTGCCTGATGTCAGCGTCACGCATCCACTCCCATGTCAGCAACTTGCTTCCTCTGACTGCCTTCGGCGCGGCGTCGCCGTAGAAAGTGCAGAGGCCCCTGGCAGCTTGGACGGCCGCTCCATCCGCCAGCTCGTTCCACGGGTGGCCAATGTGCGAGTTGACATGTGCCCAAGGGCAGCGCTCTCGTGGGCACGGCTGGTGCCCCCCCCCCCTTGGCGAGCTCGATGACATTGAGCGCGTCTGGCGCGACTATCACTGGCATCGCTTCCTGCAGGGAGGCTGCCCACGGCATGAACTAGAGTCCTGCAGTGGTCTCTGCAGTGTAGGCCGCAATCTTCTCCTGGTCCACCATGTGGCCCGTGGTGTCGAGCGCTTTGCCTGGAAAGTACCCGTGGAATCCGAACTTGCCTCCGCCCGTGTCATCGAGGTGCTCCGCGACGACGGTCACTGCCCAAGCTGCCGTCGTTGGACTGCTGTCGTAGCTCCCGTCGGCGCACAGGTGGTCGCACTTTACTCCGCGGCCCCGCTGGGGGCACATCTCGAGGGCCAGCTGGGCCATCCTGTGGAGCATCGCGTCGTCGAGCTGCGTGGCCAGCTGCAGCGGCCCGGGCTAACGCGGCTTCTCTATCGGCGACACGCGGCCCAGCGCACGCATGACTGGCACGCTGCAGACGGGAGGGGGCCCGTGGTTAAGCCAAGTCTCCAGGCGGTTGATCGGACAATAGCCGTCGCTGTCGACGTGCTCTGGCTGAGCTGGCTGGGCCTCGGCCAAGGGGCCCCCCGCTGCCGCGGAAACGCAGCCAAACTACCTCATCGCTGGTCTGGTTCGTCTCAGGGTGGGCCGCCACTCCTTCTGACATTCCCGCGCCAGCTGCGGGGCGTCGAGCTGCAAGTGATGGTGGCGCCGTCGGCCTGGTTGTCTGAAGGGCGCCATTGCTGGTCTTCGATTGCAGTGCTGGTGTTGGGCTGGTCGGGTGCATGGTGGGGGTGGTGCTGCGTTGGCCAGGTCGGAAGTATGGCTGTTTGTTTCGTTTGGTCGGCTGGCCGGCTGGTCGTGGTGTAGGTGCTCTGCTGGTAGTGGTGGTTCATGGCTGTGAGTAATACCCGGCAGGCATCCATGCACCGACTTCAAATTGGAGCGACTGCGGTCCCACCTCGCCCCGCTACGGCAAGGGGTCGCGGCGCCCTCGGTGGGGGCGAACTTCAGGCCATGCGCTTGATGCTGCTCGTGGTGGGCTGGGTCGCGACTGCCCTGTGCTCCTCCTCCACCATGGGAATGGTGGGGGTGGCGAGCTGTGGCGGACCGCGGGGGCGCGGGCGGTGGACGTCCCACCCCCTGTCCCCCTGCCCCACGCCATCCCCCCTGGCGGGCGCGGGCAGTCCTCGCCCTGCCCCCCCCCCTCCCCGCGCTCCGAGCCCGCCTCGAATGTTGCCCCTTGCCTCCCCAGTGCATTCGCAACTAGGTCTCGTTGTTGCTTGGTGCTGTCGTTGGGTGGCTGTTGTTGGTGGAGGTCAGACTTGCATGCAGGGCGCAAGGTGTGGTGGTCATCCTCAGCGAGTGGGCTGAAGCGGTTGCTCTTTTGGATTGGGGTAGTGCTGGTGCGCGCGGTTGGTCAGAGCTTTCGAAACTGCCTCCTGCGCTGCCGCTGCTCGGCGTCGTTCTGAGCGTCGCGGGGGCAGTTGAGCAGGGCGGGGGCCCGGTGGTCGGGCATCCGTTGCTCGCCGTCGATGAAAGTGCACCCGATGCCGTCGAGCTCTTGTTGCTGAAGGCCTTGGTGGCTATTCGTAGGTGTGCTGAGCTAAACTGGTTGGGCAGTGTTGGGACCGTGGGACCGTCGTTTGTATTATTGCAGACTGGTGCTGCGATCTCGGGCGCGTCGTCGCGGCGGGTCAAGTCGCTTGCGCCGCCATGACCGCTGTCCAAGACTGTAGCAAAAAGCTGCTGCTGCTGCAGCCAGTGTAGGTCGGGGTGCTGCCCACCGTCCCTCGGGCGCCTTGGAGCTAAAACAGCTGGTCGCCTGTCGGTCGCGCCTCCCTGTCGAGGCCATGTCGGGAGTGCGCTGATCCACCGGATCCCGCCTGGGTGCGGGAGGCGGGCTGTCGATCTCTTCCTTGGGAAATCGATAGCGGTAATTGACGAGGCCGCTGAAGCCTCGGTCACGCTGCCGCACGGGCTGCAGGCGTCGAGTGCCGTCCTGAGGGGATATATCAGGTGGGCGCCGTGCTGTTGGTCGGCATTCGCCGCTGTGGTCGGTGAGGCCTGGTGCACCGTGCTGCGGGGATTGCGGCGGTGCGATGCCCTCCTGAGGGAGTCGCTCAGGCGGGCGCCGAGACATTGCGCTCTCGGGGCGATTGGTGGTGGTTGTTGGGGCGGCTCGTCATCTCAGTTAAGTGGGTCACTGCCACTGTCCTCCTGAGAGAGTGTCTCAGGTAGACGTCGGTCAGTTGTGTTGCCGAGGTCTTGCACGCTCAAGGCGACTGGTGCAGCTGGACGGCGTGGTCGGCTAGGTATTGGCCTACGAACATCGCTCCCCTGATGTTGTGGCCAGTAGCCGTCAATGAGGCCCGATGTGGGGTCGCCTCGGTGCCTCAGTGGAGTCTGCGCTGCTGCTGGTTGGGCTTGGGTTCCCATTGTTGGTGAACCGTACTCATGTTTTGGTTTTGTTGTTTTTTTTTCGTTTGCTGGCTTGGTTGCTGGCATGTCGCAGGCTGTCATGGTTGTGACGGTGGTGGGTAGGCGACCGTCTAAGGCGCCCCCTAGTGGAGCTGTCGCTGATGTCTGGTTACGGCCACCAGAAGGCCCTGCATCGCCGTCGACTCTGTCCATGGTGGTGAAACGGTTGTTTGCGCATGACTGTTTTCGGTCAGTCGGGAGCCGTGGGTCGCAGGGAATCACATGCGTAGCTTCAATGCTGCACGAGTCAGAGAAGCAGGGCGCGTGGTCCTGCGGTGCCGCTGGTGCGGGGTACCAGGCGCCATGATGAACCAATTTCCCCTCAGCCGTCGCCCTCGTCCCCAGTTTTTCTGGGTGGGCCGGGCGACAACGAATCCGTCGCCCTCGCCGCTCTCGAAGAACTTGGGGTGCCTGTTGCTGGGGTCTGCGAAACCATCGCCAGCGTCGCGGGTCCTGACCTTCCTGGGCTGGCTCTTGGCTCGTCCCCGTCCTGCTTCCCGTCGCAGCGAGCTTCTGAGCGGGGGCTCAGAGGGTGTCCTCTATGGAGTCCCCATGTGGAACCTCGGCGTTGGGCACTCGGGGTCGAAGGGCTCGGTGGGCGTGATGTCGGCGATGGGGATTCTTGGTGACGTAGCTGGTGATGCCTGTCCTTCAATGCTTAGGTCGATGAGGGTCCTGGTGGTGGGGTTGTTGACATTTTGCTAGTTGTGCTTGGGTAGTGCGGTTGGGAGCTGCGCCACGGGCGGGAAAGACGTCGCCGCTTGAGTCCGCTGCTCGGTCGGGGTGGGCGTGTTGGCGCCGATCGCTTGGGTAACTTCTGCTAGGCCAGTGGGCGTCGGAGTGGGCGTGGTGGACGCTCGTCTTGAAGATCGTCGTCGTCGGCGTCGCCGGCTGGGGCCATCTGCGGCGGCTGCGGCGGCGGCGGCACCTCCCTCGGCAGTGTGGTCGCGTTCCTTTCTGTCGGTGCGACTCCGAGGTCCTGCAGGCTGAAGTCGCTGTCGGGCGCAGTCGAAGGCCCCGACGAGGTATGCGATCTCTCGCCAATAGAGCAGGCAGCAAGCTCGCGCGCGTGGACCGCTGCGTCCCGGCGCCGGCGCTCGGACTCCGTAGCGGGGAGGATCGGCATCAAGTTGTGCTCGAACTCCTCGCGCTGGTGGTCCTCCTCCTGCGCTGCCAACGCCTGGTCGCGGCCATTGATAGGGGGAAAACAAACCTACCTCGCTTTTGACCACCCTCGCTTCCAAGAGATACCAAACGATGCCAAACTGCGGCCTGTACTGGTCAGGCCGCTTGACGAGGAGGCTCGTGGTATGACTTGGTTTTGCCTGGAAGCGAAAGCGGGGTAGGTAATTCACGCACTGAATTGACGTCGTCGTCGTCGCCCGCCAGCTCGGCCGCCATCTCGTCGAGGCTAGCCAGCTGCGGCGCCTCGCCCGTCGGCGCACTCGACACAACTGGCGCGCCCGCGGGCGCCGCAGAGTCCCGCCGTCTCCTGCTCGTGGGGGGCCTGCATCTCCCACTGCCTCCTCGTGCTGTCGTGCTGGGCCCACTGCAGGTGCTGGTGGGCGTCGCGCTGCGCGCGCTCTGCCTGCTGCTCCAGGAAGAGGGGGGGCCGGCGCGGTGCCCCTCGCGCTCTGCCTGGCCGACGGGAGCCGTGCGCTGGCGTTGGTCTTCGCACGATTGCCAGGCCTCCTCCTCGATGCGCCGCTTGCCTTCCTGGTAGGCCTCGGCCTGCCCCATGCCAAACTCGACGAGGCGCCTCTCCTGCTGCGCGTGGTGCGTCTCCATGACCTCCTGTCTGGCCTGGAGCTCGAGGATCATCTCTTGTCGTACCTGGGCCCCCTGTTCGCCCAGCTCCGCCGCGCGCTTCGCCTCCGAGACTCGCGCCTGCTGCGCGAGGGCTAGCGCTTCGCCCTCCAGCTCTGCTAGGGTCTGGTGGCAGCGCTTTCGCTCTCGGCGCGCCACCTGCAGGCGCTCCCCCTCGCCTTGCCTAGCCCTGTTCGCGGCCTCGACCAGCGCTCGCATCTCCTGATCGGAGCTCCTCTTCTGCTCCTGGAGCGCCTCCTGGGCCTGCATGGCGAGGTGGCATCTGCCGCAGTGCTGCGCCAGCCTCGTCCTGCTGGTGCTGCTGGTCCCCGCACTGCCACTTGCGGTCGGCGGCCTGCTCGCGCTCGAGTTCGCGGTGGGCGGCGCTTCTGATGTCGTCAGCTTCGCGTTGGTCGGCTCGTTGTTGGCGCTCCAGCCGCTCAGAGACCGCGTGCAATGTCTTCTGGGCCATGGCTTGATCGCAACTGCGTAATCTGACCGCGTGACTCTGCTCCATGTCCACCAGCTGGGCCATGAGCCTCGCAGTCTCCTCTGGATGGCCGGCAGGCTGAGGAGCCGCTGGTGGCCTAGGGCGGGCTGCTGCCTTTGGCGAGGACTCTGGGCCCTGCAGCTGTGTCGGCATGGGGGGCCCGGCTGGGCTGCCGCTGGATGCGGTGCGTGCGCGCGTCCTCTTCCTCCGCGTCCGCTTCGTCCAGCTTGTTCCGCATCGGCTTCAGCTTCGGTCTCAAGGCGGGCCACTGGCTGCGGTTCTCGCCATCATGTCACTAGTCTCGCGGATCAGCACCTCGTATGTTCGCACGACCCTCGTGGCCTTCGCCTGCTCGTCCAGCTGCGCGGCGATGCTGGCTCGGAGGCTGGTGGGCTCCACTTCGGCCCGCTCCAGGGCGGAGCGCAGCTGGCGGAGCCTCTCCTTTGGTGGGATCACGAATGTGATGTTCGCCGCCGTGGCCGCTGACTCATACTCCAGGTTGGTGGATGCCACGCCTGCGGATCGGGCCCCTGCGATGTTGTCCGCCGATCTGGCGAGGCGTTTGCTGCGAGTCTTCCGCCAGACCTCGAGCACCTCTGGGTCGGACGGCGGCGAGCTCCACGACTCATGAGCCTGCGCCTCCTCGTAGTACGCTGGCAACACCAGGTCGAGCAAGGCACGCTGCTTCTCGGTGAAGCTGTTCTGCTGCTGTGGCTGGGGTGCCTGCCGTCCTGCTGCTGAGGCTGTGACGCCTGTCGGGCGGCGACTGCGCCTGCGTCTGCTGGTAGGCGCATCCGCATGCCACTTGTTCTGCTGCCATTGGCCTTGGGACCAGACCGAGCCCTGCCACCTCTACTGGGTCCACCCTGCGCTGGTCTGGTGCTGCTGGTGCGCTGGGTGCTGCGCGCCCGTTGCGCACGCCATGGCCATGGGCTCTCGCCAACTGCGGGGCCCGATGACCTTTTTCTCTGGCCATCATGTGCCGCAGCATGCGGCATGTCGAAGTCCTCACTCTGGGGCTGCTGCTGTTGGCGCTGCGGCTGCTGAGCGCAGTGGTGGGTGCTGAGACGGTTTGGAGCTGCAGCGACTCGTAGCAGAAAACGGTCTTGTCCACGCAGGGCTCGTAGACGTCGGTGCCAGGACTCCCCCCGCCCCCTGGACGTCTTTAGAGTCCTGGCCGCTGCGGCGGCCTTCTCCTTTTGTTTTTTGATGGCCCAGGCGCGAGCCACGACCGACGGGGCGACCAACGGGCGGCGACGGTGCCGCCCCTCCTCGGCCGTATGGATTTGCTCCTGCTCCTCCTCCTCCTCCTCCTCCTCCTCCTCCTCCTCCTCCTCCTGGTCCAGCTCCTACTCCTGCTCCTGCTCCTGCCCCTGCTCCTCCTCCTGCTCCTCCTCCATTTCCTCCTCCTCCCCCTCCTCCATTGTTTCTTATTCCTTTTCCTCCTCCTCCTCCTCCTCCTGCTCCTGCTCCTGTTCCTGTTCCTGCTCTTCCTGCTCCTCCTGTCCTCCTCTCCTCTCCTCCTCCTCCTCTCCTCCTCCCTCCTCCCCCTCCCCCTCCTCCTCCTCCTCCTCCTCCTCCTCCTCCTCCTCCTCCTCCTCCTCTTCCTCCTCCTCCTCCTCACCGCCACCATCCTGCCCTCGCTCCCCGCCGTCGCCGCTGGCCTCCACGGCCCTCCGCCGCCGCCGCACTGTGAACAAAATCACAACGGAAGATTTCGAATGTCTCGTCCCCGGGGGACCTTATACCGAACCCCAGGACCGTCAAAAAACGACTTTTGAGTGGCCTGTTGGCGCCGCGGGAGTATCATAGATGTTGCCGAATTATTCTCCTCGTCGTATGTGGATTCTGCGTCGTATGTTGGCCGTTCTGCGTTTCATGATGCGGAATAGGCGGTCGATTCTGCGTCGCATTTTGTTTCTGCATCGCATGTTGGCCGTTTTGCGTCTTGGCATCTTGGCTCGATGCGGCTTTCCGGCGTCGCGGCGCCTCTGGGCATGATGAAAAGCCCGTCCCGGGGAAGGGGTCCAGATTTCTGGGAGTCGACGTTGCGCAAAAAATCACGACGTCGGGGGTCTGAGATCACTCGGCGGCGAGCGAAGGGGGGAAAAGCGAGAAGGAGACAACCTTCGCTGCAGGCGGCGAAACTTCTCGGAGGCCCTCGCGCCATGTGTCTGAGAGGTCTTCCGCGTCTTCGGGGGAGGCTTGGGGAACTTCTCAGGAGGCTGGGGGGCTTGCGAGCCTTCTGAGACGGCCCACCCCTTCTCACGTCTCCCCAGGGCTCGCCGCCGACATCAAGGACGCGTCGTGACCGAAACCGTGCCCGAAGATCCGCCCGAGTGTGACCGAAGCTGGCGCCCGAACTTTTCCGACAGCGTCTGACTGCGACCGAAACGGTTGGTTCGAGACCAAGACGATCTCCAGCTTCGGCCACACTCTGGGCCACACTAATTACGTTTTCGGTCTCAGCTTCGGGCACACGCTCGGTCACCGGTTCCTGTTCGGGCAACCGCCTTCTCGGCTGAGAAGGGCCAGGTGTCATGACACCAACTGGCGCGAAGGCGCTGGAGAACGCGAGCCTCGAACGCGGCGGCTCTCTCGCCGCCGCCGTCGCTGCCGCCCGTCGGCGCCGCCCGCCCAGCCCGACCGTCCCGATCGCCCGCCCGACCCGCCCGCCTTGAAAGCCCCGCCTGCCCAGCCCGCCCGGCGACCCGTCGACCTTTCGACACGCCGCCGCCGCCGAAGTCGCGGCCGTCGCCGTCGCCGTCGTCGTCGTCGTCGTCGGCGTGGGCGTGGGCGTGGGCGTGGGCGTGGGCGTGGGCGTGGGCGTGGGCGTGGGCGTGGGCGTGGGCGCGGGCGTGAGTGTGGGCGTGGGCGTGGGCGTGGGCATGGGCGGCGTCGTCGTCGTCGTCGTCGTCGTCGGCGTCGGCGCCTGCGCCTCGTCCACTGCGCGCTCCAGGTCCTCGCGCACGAGCTGCTGCTCCATCGCCTGGGGGGGGGCGGGACCGGGACCGGGGGCGGCGACCGCGCGCGGCGCGGGCGAAGAAGCCGCCCCACGGCATTGCCCACACTCACTCGCTCCCTCCGGCCGTCGTCCGTCGCAGCGGCGCTCGTCCGTTCGTCCTCGTCCTCCCCGTCCGCCGTTCGCGGTCCGCCGCCGCGTCGGTGGCTGCCGCTGCCTTCCCCTGGCCGGGGCCTCGCGCCCCCTCCAGGGCGCAGGGGGGGCCAACCTGGAATCCCAGAGCCCTGAGAGCCCAAAACATCTCTCTCTCTCTCTCTCTCCAGCCTTGGCTCGGGGAACCCCTCGTGGTCCGAGCGCAGCCATGCCCCGGGGCACCTCCTCGGTCCTCCGGATGCACTTTCGTCGAGTGACGCAGAGGTGCGCCACCTCCTCACCATGCCGCCGCGCGCCGCCATGCAGCCCGAGCCCGAGTTTCTCGCCGAAAGCGGGCCCGAGCCCGAGCCCGAGCCCGAAGTAGAACCCCGAGCCCGCGCCCGAGCTCAAACCCGCGCTCGAATCGAAGCACCCACACTGGGCCCTGGTGCCGTCACCAAGAGCAACTCGGGATGAGAAAGATCCAGGGGGGGGGCCATGTAGTGAAAGAACTCACGACGTTGGGGGCCCGAAGAAGGCAGCTGTGCAGCTTTTCCAAGGTCATCTCTGTCCTGCTGTCGCGGGGTGACTCCAGCAATGCGGCTAGCCAAGGAATGCGGTCAGGATGCGGACCGAACAGCCAGAAAATTGCAGCGCGTTTGCGACAGAGTGAAACAGTGGCTGGACATGTCAGGACGCAGACCAACCATTCGGAAGCTGGGCGAGGGCTGGCAAAACCGTGGCTGCCAAAAACGGCCCTCCCGGAAGGAAAACACACACCCCCGGAATGAGGCGCGGCACGCGAAGCAGTCGACGGGCTTCTCTTCCCGGAGGGACGAAGACGACCTTCCGGAGGTCGCTTTTAGCAGCCACGGCTTCAGCAGCCCTTGCCCGGCTTCCGAACCGTCTGAGCAGATGGCGGGGGGGGCCAGCAGCTGCCACGCTCCCCGGCGACAGAGCGAAGCCGTTGACGAGTGCGTGGCTGCTTTTGGGAGCGCGCCGCCGAGGCAGTGCGAACCAGGAGGAGGAGGAGGAGGAGGAGGAGGAGGAGGCGGATGAGGAGGAGGAAGCAGGAGGAAGCAGGAGGCGGGACCTTGCAGGATAGTTGATAGATCCCCGATGGGGCAGACAGAGCGTCCGAAGCCTGGGAAAGAGAGAGAGAGAGAGGGAGAGAGGTAGGAGGCGGCACATGGAAGAAACCAGCTGGCGCGGCGGATGCAATACTGCACTCGCGAAGACGAATCCGACTGTGGCACCCACGCCGTGGCACCCTAAAGCGGCATCTATTTACCATGCGAAACGACGGCCCAGTCCAACAGTCGTACGTTCCGTCGAAGACACTGGATCTCAGGGCAAAACAAAGAGCGCTCGCGCCCATAGTATCCACAAGACTGCGACCTCACAACACACGGAGGCCTTCTTGGGGCCATTGGGTCATCTTGAGGGGCAGGTGAGCTGGCATGGGAAGATATTGGGCCGTCTTGGAGCCTGCTTGGGCCGGTCTGGGCGACCGATGGTCCCTCTTGAAAGCGAAGATGCCCGAACACACCAGAGTACTGATATCATTCGAGAACTTGAAGAACATCCATGTGTGTTGCCTCGAGACGCCCTCGTGGAGGCTCTTTTCAGGCCCTCTTGGGCCATCTGGTAGGCTTCTGAGGCAGCTTTCAAGCCAGTTGTTGCTGTCCTGGAGCCCTCTCGGGCCGTATCTGATTTATCCTGGCCCGTCCTGAAATCGAAGAAGACCGAGCGTCATTCCTGAGGGGAGAGGCAAGAGGCCCAGCACTGAAATGAGCAACCCCCTGGGCATCTGAATCCCCCTCCCCATTGTCTTACTCTCTTTCTCTCTCTCGCTGTCTGTCTCTCTCTGTCTCTGTCTCTCTCTCTCTCTCTCTTTCTCTCTCTCCTTCGCCCTCTCTCTCTCATCTCGATTGGATTTACCTTTTATGTATATGTATACGCGTGTACATGTCAAGCACCGGTCAATATCATGCACGTATGCACACACATGCATAATGAAACTGGCATTTGTATTAAATATATACATATATATGTATGTATCCATTATATTTATATGTGCATATATATATGTTCGAATTTAAGGATGGACGCACAATGCACCTACGTACGTGCATTTAAACTGTATACATTCATACAGACGCACATGTACACACATGCCGATGTAGACATAGGCATGCCGTGCCGACGAGAACAAGCGTAACCATGTGTATGCACGACTGTGTATGTAGACCTATACATACATCCATGCGTGCGCACATACATGCATGCAGACATACAAACACACATGCATAGGACCATACGTTCGTACATACCCATACACACATACACACACATATTTATATATCTGTATGCAAACGTATACACATACGTATACACATGCATGCACACATACATACATGCATACATACATACATGCGTACACACATACATGCATGCATGCATACCTACATGTTCACAGGTGCTGTTGTCTTTTCTCGTGGGGACAATTTTTGCTACAATGGGCCACGCGTCGACGCGACTTGGGCGCCAGCCGGTCAGTGCACAGACTGGCGGGAGCCTGAAAAGTGAGAAGGCCCCTGCTCAAAACATCCCAATAGGAGAGAGAGAGAGGGACAAGGGAGGGAGGGCAAAGAGAAGGAGAGGTTTGAATATAGGTTATGGCAACAGGAGACATCACCCGAACAATGCCCCTTACCTTCCCGCGCAAGCACACAGGTGCTGTTGCATTTTACTCGTGGGCAAGAACGCTGCTACAAGGTGCCGCGCGTCGACGCGACTTGGGCGCCAGCCGGTCAGTGCACAGACTGGCGGGAGCCTGAGAAGTGAGAAGGCTCCCGCTCAAAACGTCCCAAACCCGAAGAGGGCCACCCAAGCCTGAAGGTTCCCAGGGGCGGGCGGGATAGGGCATCAAGAAAAACACACGCATTGAACAAATTGGCGGGGCAGAAAGCCGGCGTCAGCCAGAAGCTAGAGTAGCGATCCGATCGCGTTCATGGGAAAGAAGCGACTGGACCATGGCCTTACACAAAGCTGGAGGGTAGGAGTCTGCGATGGCTGTCCACTTCATGCCTGATGGCGCCGCCCCCTCTAACACGAAATGCTCACGGCCTGTTCGACTACAAAAACCAAGATTGTCTTTGCATCTACGACGATCAAATTCTTGACGCTTCGCGCACCCCCATCACGTGAGCCGGCGCCAGAGGGAGGCAGAAGTAGTCAGACAGCCACGCAGGCACGCACAGCCGATGGAAGCAGTTCGAGACGTCGGAGAGACCGACCGACAGGTAGAAGTCGCTCAGCAGCTCGACAGCCCGCTCGGAACCCAGCGGCGCGTCGGCGGGCAGCGCCACCTCCACGCGGGAAAGCCCCAACGAACTCGGCAGAGACACGCCTGGCGGAGCCTTGAAGCACTCGTTGGCCCGCCTGGCGTCGACGATGAGGCGCTGGGCGGCGCCGCCGTCATTCTCCACCGTGAAGAGGCCCACCTGGCACTTCGGGGTGGACGTCCAAGATGCGATGCCGATCTCCGCTAGACGGCGGAACAGACGATGAGACTCCAGGTGGGGGACGGTCTCGCACGCGCCGACCGAAGGCGCCAGCGTGCTCTCTCGATAGCCCCCCAGGGGTCCGACGACCTCCAGGGGCGCCACGTCACTTATTAGAGGACACCCCTGCACTGAGCCTGGCAGACTCGCGAGGTCGAGCTCGAAGGACGCGACGCTTGTCGGACAACCCGCCGCCCGACACGGGGAGTGTCCCTGAAGCAGCTTCTTCAGAGCCGCCTCGTCCCTGATGTGGGAAGGGCGCGGCTACCAGCTGTCAGCCAACTCACGCGCTCTTCTCTGGGCGTCGGCCTGCGTCGAGTCGGGCGCGACGTCGGGGCCGCGATCAGCCCACAAAATCCTTGCTGCCCGCCATCCAGTTCAGTGCCTTCAGCGCGTCATTCGCCATAGGCAGACGACCTCGCCCGCGCCCGGGGCACTCCGGGTTTGGCGCCAGCAAAGGAAGCGGGAACAGGCTCCGCTGTCCCCGCGAGGCCGCCAGTCTGGGGCGATCGCCAGCCCCCTGAAGCGGGCTAGGGTCGGGGGGGCCCCCAGCCAACGGGCCTATCATTGAGCCCCAGGGGCGCCGCCGCCGCGGCCTCGGCCTCGCCCGCCGTCGCCGCGGCCTCGGCCGCCCCCGCCTCCTCTGCCCTCCTCGCCGCCGCCGCCCCGACCGCCGACCCCGCCACCGCCGAGGCCGTCATCATGGCCCCCAGTCGGGGCGCCACACAGCGCCTGCTGTCAGTCACGATCCTTTCGCATCTTGCGCGCCGCATGCGCCCGCAACGTCCTCGGCCGACTGCGCTTCTTTGTAGTACTTCGCCAACTCCCACTGCGCACGCTGCGGGTTGGAGTGAGTGACAACGATGCCAGCCAGCCGCTTGCAGAGCACCTCCAGCACCATCAGCCCCCCCAAATTCACCTGGCCGTAGCAGCCGGCCATGTACAAAACCTCGCGGATGCAGCGCAACTCGCGGGCCACTCTATCCGTGATGGCGAAGCATTTTTCCCGAAGGTACTCCCTGAACCACAGCCGCGGGTCGCCTCCCACCCTCACCATGCTCTTGCACGTCGTGAGGGCGCCGGGTGGCGCGTCCAAGGTTTGGTCGCTGAACTCCTCCTGGGTGCTTTCGTGGACCGCCTCACGCCAGGGCTTGAAACGCTCACCCTGCCCGTCGAAATCCAAAGCCAGCAGCCTGACATCCTCGCCCCTGATCGGCACGACCGCCTCGGCGGCCGAGGGGGGCTCCTCCGAGCCTGGCAAAGGCGGCCGGCCGAGGCGGTCACGGAGATCAGCCCCCGAGCCAGCATGAGCTGCGCCCAGCAGCTGGCGTAGACCGGCGGCCCGCGTCTCAGCATAGGCAGTCATGTCCTCAACTCGCATTTGCACCACCCGAACGTATCCCTCGTCCAGAAAAACCAACCCGTCCTCGCTAGTCGCCTCGACGCAGGGAACTCTGTGAATGTCCACCCCGCTGCCGATCGTCATGGAGGGGGTCGGCTCCGCTAGCACCCAGGCGTGACCGGCACGCGGCGGCAGCGGCCGCGCGACGAGCGCCCTCTCCCCCTCCGCGGCCAGAGGGGGTGTCGGTGCCTCCGATCGCGTCGGGAGGCCTCGGCGGATCCGCTCGGGCCACTCAGCGGCCGCTTGCCACGCACGCGCCGGCCTGGGGCCAGCGGCGGGAAGCTGCCGCCAAAGAGCCGAGCGATCGGCAAAACCTCGCCGCCAAGAGCCTGCACGAGCTCAGGCACGACGGGGCGCTGGCCCACGCGGCACTCGGCTTCGCAGGCTCGCAGCCCGCGCAGGATGCCCTCGCGCAGCTCCCCCAGCCCGAGCCTGTCAGCGAAGCGGTACAGCCGCCGACGACGGCGCCCGCGGCGCGCGGGCGGAAGCGAGCCGTCCGCCGGCAGCAGACTGCCGCGCACTGGGCCGTTGCTAGCGTCCTGACAGGTCACATCCTGAAGGTACTCGTCGCCATCGGGAGTCCTGATCCACCAGACCCCGCCACCCAGCGGGAAGAGCAGGACGCGTTCGTGGTCGACCTCGTCCCCTTCGTACTCCATCGAGACATACTGTCCCGGCACTAGATCACTGTACCACTCCTCCTCCTCCTCCTCGCCGAACGGAGGGAGCGCCATGCACTACCGCAGCGGTACGGCCTCGCCCTCGCCACCAGCTCAGCGCGTACCTGGGAAGATGCGTCAGCAACGGCGAGCCGACGAGCCAGATCATCAGCTCCGCCTCCGAAGGCCCTCGCAAGTCCACCTGCGGGCGCGCGCGCGGGGCAGGCCGGGCACCCTGGCGCTGGCGGGCAGACCGCCTCCAGCCAGGCCGGCGCGCCCTCGGGGCACCAGCCCTCAGCCGCCAGCGTGGCCGCGGGCGGAGGCGGCGGTGGCGGCGGCGGAGGCCAAGGCCCAGCGGGCGTCCAGCCGACCTCGGCCGCGCGCCAACTAATCCAGGCGAGCCCCACCGCGAAGACCGCGAACGGGGACCTGGCCGCACTGCCGGCCGGGGCCAACGACGCCTCTGCAGAGAGAAAGAGAGGCTTGAGTATAGGTTATGGCAACAAGGGACATCACCCGAACATTTCCCCTTACCTTCCCGTGCAAGCACACACATACACAGTGCATAGACATACACACATACATACATGCATGAATGGCATACAGACAGACAGACAGACAGACAGACAGACAGACAGACAGACAGACAGACAGACAGACAGACAGACAGACAGACAGACAGACAGACAGACAGACATGCAGACATGCATACGTACATGCATACATACATACGGGAACTGATACGCATGCGAAAATGCATGACTGCCCTCGCGCATTCCGCCAGCTTCCGCTGGGCATCCGCAGGGCATGCCACCCGCCCCTATCCCTCTGGCACGCAGGAGCAGGAAGGATCGTCGCTGTCGGGCCCCGTGGGCTCGCTAGAGCACAAGTGGCTGGAGCTCTCAGGTTCACGGGAGACGTAGAAAACGCAGTCACAACTTTATAGCACGGATGCGCGGTAATGATGCAAGCCCCTCGGACGCCAGTGTCGAAGCTTTTTCGAGCGCGGCGGGGCATCGGTCGTGTGTAAGGATAGATCGAAGAGGCACGGATGCAGGGGTACCCTCGGGAAGGTTACCTATCCTTACCATCGGTACTGTCCAAGGGATTGGCTTTTCCATTCTCCTGGGAGCCTCAATTCGGCACAACCCTGACGGACCTTGCGCATCATGTGCGCTCAGATGGCGCTCAAGACTGCGTCTTGGAACCTCAACTCGACGCCCCCCTCATGCATTCCGTTCACCATGGACCTCCAAGGGGGATCCGCTGGAACTGAAGACGGCTGCAGGGAGCCTTAATTCGACATGCCCCTCATGCATTCCGTGCCTCATGGACTCCCAGGGGCCCTCGGCTGACCCCTGAGACGGCCCCTGGGAACTCCCCTCCGGCACGCCCTTCGCTCCCTCCACTCCCCGGGAGCTTCACACCGGCACACCCCTCACGGATTCCAGAGGCTCCCAGCTGATCCCAGGGACGGCTCCCGGGGCCTTCGATTCGGCACACCCCTGCCGCACTCCGTGGCCCGTGGACCACGGGGGGGCTCGCCGACGGCAACGGGGGGGGGGCTCGCCGACGGGGGCTCGCCGACGGCGACGGGGCCTTCCTCCTCCTCCTCCTCCTCCTCCTCCTCCTCCTCCTCCACCTCCTCCTCCTCCTCCTCTGACTGTTTACTTGTGCTCTGGTCTTTACCGACGGGGGGCTCGCCGACGGCAAACTCTGCGCCTGCGTGCCAGCCGTGGCTCTCCCATGGCTCTGGGCTCCCCTCGGGCGGGGCCCCCCGCGGGCCCGGCCACCGCTGTGGTCGGGAGCTCCTGCCTCGCGCGTGCCGCGGCGGCGCGGCGGCCCCGGCGACACGCGGGGCCCTGCGTCAGTTCGGGCGTCTCCTCCTACAGGCGGACGTTTCTTTTTTTTTTTGTTTGAAAAAATAAAAAAAATCCTACAGGCGGACTTGAGACGAAAGATAAAGAGTACCAGAAAATAGACTGCCAAACTCTTGAAAACATCAGCAACAGATCGCCCCCATACTTTTTTGTATGCGTGTGACTACGTTTGACTCTTCGTCTGTAAAGGGACACGCCCGACTTAGCACTGCGGCTGGATGGCGTGCCGCTGCGCCCCGCCGGGGCTGGAAGCTGGGCACGGCTCGGGACGCCAGGGCTCAGGAGTGGGGGCGTGGCCAGCGCGCCACGCCGAAGCGTGGTGGGCCAGAAACGGTGATGGCATGGAGGATGGCGAGATTCATGCAGGAAGAGCCGCTTGAAGCGGCTCCGCGCAGCACGCGGGCCCGCAGCGCAATGCCGCACCGAAAATCCGCCAGGGGGCCATCGGCACGCCTCTCACGCACGACGTGCCCGCGCTCAGAAACTGTTTTGGGAGCCCCAGGTCGGCGCACTCCTCACTCGTTCCGTGGCGTGTGGACCCGCAGGTAGAAGAAGAAATAGCCCAAAAACATCAGCTTGTGGCGCTCGGCGCGGGTTTCTGGGATCTGCGCTGATCCCCCTCCCTGGCGCGCGGAGCACGCCAGGAGCGGCACCGGAGGCGCCGACAGGGGGGCCCAGCGCGGGTCCAAAAAATCCGCGCGGAGCGCCAACAATTTTTGTTTATGGTGTCTCTACTTCCTCGGCTCATTTCGGCGCACTCCTCGTCCATTCCGTGGCCTCTGAACCCACAGATGCGCTCGGCCAGCTCTACAAGACGGCTGCACGGGGCCTTCCTTCGGCACACCCCATACACGTCGGTCGGAAGAAGTAGGTAGAAACATGAAGTAGGAAGGCGGATTAAGTTGATTGGGTCCAGGCCCACCCAGAGAATAAGAAAACACAGCCAAAGCGTGTCGATCATTGAAGTAGGAAGGCGCTTGAAGTAGATTGGGATCTGGGAATCCAAAAATACCTACTTTCAACGACCGGCGTGTATCGGCGCACCCCTCACGCATTTCGGCCGCAGGGCCCCCCACACGCGCCCAGCTGGCCTTCCAAGACGGCTGCGCCTGGGGCCTCACTCTGGCACAACCAACGCGCATGCCGTGCCCCCCCAAAAGGGCCTCTGGCGTTTCTCTCAAGACCGCCTGACACCCCCCCAAGCCCAGACCCCCGACGCCATGATTCTTTCATGACGTCGACGCCCAGAGGTCTGAACCCCTTCCCTGGGACCGGATTCGCATCCTGGATCGTTGTGTTGTCGCTCCCGGGGCCTGGCAAGGGCCCCCGGAGGCCGAAAAGAGCGAAAAACCTCCCACCGTGATCATTTAACGACACAAGGGGGTCTGCGGACCCCCCCCAAAGGGACGCCAAGATGGCCGTGGGACAGCAAGCCGCCAGGAGCGGCACCGATTCCTGTCGAAGCCGTCCCCCAGGACACCCGTTTCTCGCTCGGCAGCGCCATGGGGACGTGTGCGCGAGGGTCCATCCCCCCGTGCGTTTCTCCTCGATCTCGTGCGTGCTGTGCTCGGCTCAAGGAGCCAGGATGCTCCTCGGTGGTCCTTGCCGAGGAGCACGCCCGAGCGATGCCGAGGGCGGCGGAGGAAGGAGGAGGAGGCTCGGCCGACGCGAGGCGGCGGGCGAGGGGCGCGCCCGGCGGCCTCCGGGCACATGGGGGGGGCGGCGTGCAGCAAGCGTAAGGCCAGCACGAAGAGTGGAGAGCACGATCGGGACCATGTAGTGAAAGGTTTGGGGTGTGGTGTCAGTTGGGCAGGGACCGACCAGCATTCCTATAGTCCTACCACGAAATGTTCTTAGAACCCAAAGATGTTCGAATGAGAAAAAAGAATGTCCTTAGAACATAATCCCCATGTGTTAAAACAAGACACTATCCGCCAGGAATGTTCTAAGAACATTTCGTGAGCACTGTTTGGTAGGGCCATGGGCGAGCCAGGACGCTTCGCCCCCGCCTTGAGTCAGATGGGTGTACCATCCAGAAGGCGGATCGGGTCCTGCTTTGGGCGCGATGATGGGCCGCAAGAGCCTCCAGCGGTCCGGTAGGCACGAAGACCGTGCTGTCGACCAGCCCCCGAGCACCCATCGATTGCAAGTGAGGTCGGCGGATTTCGGAGGAGCCCGTGAGGTCGGAGGACGAGGAGGAGGAGGACGAGGAGGAGGAGGAGGAGGACGAGGAGGAGGAGGAGGAGGACGAGGAGGAGGAGGCCGAGGAGGAGGAGGACGAGGAGGAGGAGGAGGACGAGGAGGAGGAGGAGGAGGCAGAGGAGGAGGAGGAGGAGGAGGAGGAGGAGGAGGAGGAGGAGGACGAGGAGGAGGAGGAGGCAGAGAGAGCCCCAAGTCGCCCCAGGATCGCTCCAAGACGTCCAGGACGTCCTCAAGATGGCCGAAGAGGCCTCCAGGGCGCCACGACAGGCCTCCGAGAGCCCTCTCATGGAGGGCCCCATGTGGCACACACCATTGATAGTCCTGGGGTGGTTTCGGAAAGATGTGGCCGCTCTCGCCTGGTCGGCTCTCCGACACTCCAGCACGCCCTAAGAGGCCCCCAAGACCACCCAAGACGGCCCAGGGGCTCGGTGCGGCGGTCCCTTCGCGGGAGCAGGGCGGCATCTGTCCGCCTGGGACTTCTGCGAGGCTGCAGCTGTAATGGGCAACGGTGGGACTGTACGGTCGGCAACTCCTGCACAGCGCGTCGCAGCGGCGGCCCCAGCGACACGCGGTGCCTTGCGAGTGGATAGCGCGTCGCTCTGCTCCACGGGGCGGGAGGCTCGGAAAGGCTCGGAACGTTGACGCCCGGGGGCTGGGAAGTGGACAGCGCGTCGCACCGAAGCGTTGGGGGGGCCAGACCCGGCGGAGCGATACGCGATCCAAAAGGTGCCGGCCGTACAGAGAGCTGCTCCGCGCAGTCGACGGGCCCGACGAGGCCCGAGGAAGGCGCCATGCAAGTCTCCTCATCATAGCCCGAGTTCGGCACACCGCTCGCGCACTTCGCGTCCCATGGGCCCCCCCAAAATGTTCAGGCATCGTGAAAGCATCCGCGCAGATCAGGTTCGAGGGCACGTAGAGAGACGCCCCATCTAGCTCCTGGGACATGCAACGGGTCTGCGCTCGCAAGCTCCTGAGATCACGCCTGGAACCGCTGCTGCCTGAGTCCCTGGTTGCTGATGATGCAGATTGCCGTCGTTCGCAGTTGCTCGATGCCGTTCGGGGTTGCTGGCTTCCTGCTTGTTGCTGCGGTCTGTTGCATGTTGTTGCGTACTGCTGATTCCTGTTTTCGTTACCGCGCTGCCTCTCCGTCCCACCTCCGCTTCATTATCCTCCTCTTCATCGCTCCGCATCCTCCCTGTCCCTTCTCACTGCCCCCATTCGCTCCTCGCCCCTCGCCCTCCTCTGCGCTCCTCCTCTGCGACCGTCTTCCTCTGCCCCGTCGCTCTCCTCGTCCTCCTCGTTCCCCCCTCTCCTCCGACGCGCTCGTCCCAGCATCGGTCTGGACACGTGGGTCGTGGGCCTACCGTCGTGCCGACCCCCCAGGCCGCTTTACACCCATGGTCCTGCCAATTGAGCAGGGACAGACCGTCCCGGCATTCCTATAGGCCCACCACGACATGTTCTTCGAACCCACAAATGCTCCAAGAACCAGAGCAGTGTTCTTAGAACAGGAGCCCGATGCGCTAAACCAAGATAGCAGTCTGAGCCAGAAATGCTCTTGCAACACTTCGGGCAGGCCACAAGAGGTTCTTAGAACAATCTCTTTGGTGGGCCTATAGGCAAGCCAGGACGCTTCGCCACTGCTTGCGTCAACCCGCCTGGGTGTAGTCATCCGCCTGGCGGTTTACAACCCCTCCCAAGCCCTATGCTGGCTACCCTGCAGCCCTCGTGACCACCTTCGGCGCCTCCTAAAACCAAAGATGTGTGTCGAACTCAAGAGGTTGACCTTCCGAATCTCGACTTTTGGAGGGTGCGTCACGCAACGCTGCCGTCCGGGCGCCCTGGACTAGCTTGAAGGCTTCCCGGGGCCCTGTGTGGTCCCTCCTTTGGGGCCCTGCTGGAGCCCTCCCTCTGGAGCCATCCTAGGCCACCCAAGAAGCAAGTTTTGGAAGATAGCCCCTTCGAAATCTCGAGCTTGGAAGGCTGTCTCACACGCATCGGCGGTTGTCGGACAATATCCGAAGCCTCTTGAAGCCCTGCTCGGACTCATGGGCCCTCTTCGAGCCTTCTTGAGTAAACCCAAGAGGCAAGCATTGAAAAACAACTCGATTGAAGTCTCCATTCTGAAAGGATGTCTCACGCGAAACAAATGTTTGGGGAACGCTTAGGGTCCCGCTTGGGCTCTCCTGGGCCCTCTCAGGGCTCTCGTACGCCATGTTGGACCCTGCGTGGAGCCCAAGAGTCAAGCTTAACGCCCACTGAAATATGCTCAGCCTCGATTTCCAAAGGATCCCTGCGTTGAAGCGCCCCGTTCTGTAAGACCTAATCTGCACAGCGGGATGTGATGCTGCTTGAGCCCCTTTGTTGCTGATGCTGCCGAGTGCCCGCGTTAGCGGCTGCTTGATACTGATTTACCTGCTGCTGCCTGGTGCTGGGCGAATTTGGCTGCTGCTGCGTACTGCTGCTTCCGGCCTGTATCCACACGTTCCCCTTCTTTTCGGCCTCCCCATCCTCCTTCTATTCTTCGCTCCGCATCCTCACTGCTCCTCCTGGCTATTCCTCTTGGCTGATCGGCACGCCTCCTCCACGCTCCTCTTCCGAACTGCTCTTCCTCCAACTGGCTCCTCCAGGGATTTCTGGGGGGCACATAAGTTGACGGCCTACCGTCGTGCCAACCGCACTGGCAAGTCTAACAGCATAGTCGTGTCAACCCGCCTGGTGTTGCAACCCGCCCGGAAGGGTCAACCCCCGCTCTATGCTGGCTATCCGGGAGCCCGCCAGGGCCTCCTTAGTCAAGTGGTGGAGCAAAAGATGCACGCACAGATTAAGATGGCAATTCCTTCAACGTCTCAAGCTGAAAAAGATGGATCACGCAACGCTGCCGTGTTCTGAGTTCCGTTTAGGGGAAGTTCCCGTATTCAGCAAATGTTACCTGCCCCCCACGCGAAATTGGTGTTTGGGGAGCACCTTTTCAGCCTGGAGTACAGGCCTCCAGCCTGTGAAATGCTGAGGTGCCTCATGTATCGCAGGATGTGCAAACTCGAGCGATCGAGCAGGCCCAGCGCTGCTGGAGCAAATGCTGGACAGATCCCCCCGCCGCAAGGCTGCGGATGCTGCTGGTGAGGGGTCTGCCTGGAGGCCCTGGCGTTCTGGCCATTGCAAAAGGAGATACAAGCTGGTTCCAAGAGGCCGCACTGCTGGAGAGAGCCTCATCGGAGGAGAAGAACACGGCCCAAGAGCAAATGCCTGCTGCATGAGCAAGGATTTCGCAACACGTTAAATACGTGTGTTGATATCATTCAAAGACGCGTGAATAATACTCTGCTGCAAGCGCAATGCGGGCGTCGCACTGTCGCTACACATGATCTGACACTGGAAGCGCACACGCTCTGCGCCTCCTTTTTGTACCAGACGGCGCGTGAACAAGGAATATAGCAAGGGTGCCGCAAGATGCTCTCAAGCTCCAGGCCGTCCCTGCCAGCTCCTAGCCGCACACAGCACCGACCCGAAGGTAGAAAGGGTCAGCCGAGAGGCCCATTTTCGACGATCCTCCGAACGTGTGTTAGCGCAAACGTGTGCTGGTCCACGGAAGCCGGTCAATACGGAACAGATGGTGAAACGATGGCCGGCACAGGCCTAACGGAGTAACACCCACACACACACATTGGGCTAGCACACGTCCTGAGGATCATCGATACTTCGCCTGGACAACGGCATCAGACATAATGTGCTCGTGTGTCTCCCTGCGACGGCCGCGCGCCGTCTTCGGCCCGCGGGTTGTTGTATCCCAGGGCCACGCACACCTGCGGGAGTTTGGACTGCTACTGCCGGATCGTGGCTCAGAACGTGCCGATGGCGTGATCCTTCTCAGTGGACTTGCTCCTTGCCGCTTCTGGCGGAACCTGGCTACGAGAGCCGGTGCTGCCGTAGCTGATGGTGCTGAACTTCCTTCGTGGTTCTGGTCCCTTCTTCAAAGCTGCTCCTTTCGGCGCTGGAGCTTGGAGCGACTTATTGATGCGCTCCCTGATTGCCGCGGCGTTTGTGTTCAGAATGGCCTCCGAGGCCATCATAGGCTGGAAGAGGGGGCAGATCTCTCGGAAGACGCCGAGGATGATGGTCCGCAGGTCCTCCGCGCTCGCCGCTGCGAGGTCCATTGCAGCTCGGTTCTCATTCAGGAACGTGCCCTCTGCAGGGAAGCGGAACTTCTCATCCGCCAAGATTGGGACAAAGGAGGCGCCCGCCGCGGAGACGGACCAGATGACCCTCAGCATGTCCAGGCGCTGGAGGCAGGACACTGTGCAGATGAGCAGGCACATGCAGCTATGTTGGGGGAAGTCCGCGCCTCGCGGCAGGACGTGAGGCATGGAGTCGGGGTCGCTGGCGTAGAACGGCTTCATGAGCATGTTCAGGATGTGGCCAGTGCAGATTGCCTCGACGTTAGTGTGATCCACGGCAATGAAGACCCTGGTGTCGGGCACCCCATCGTGCTCGTCTGGCATCTGCATCTCGTCCGTCACTGATTTCTGCCCAAGTCCCGCCGTGAGGGCCTTCAGCGTCTGGTGCGTGATGTTGGGTGGCATGATCACGCTTGGGCAGGTGCGCAGCCACCGGAAAGTCTCCTGGATATAATCGAGGGTGATTCCGAAGGCTGTAAGAGCAGAGACGTCGGGTACCTGCTGGTTGTATCGGGCGATCCATGTGTCATCCGGGAAATTGAAGCCGGGCATGATGACCTTGAGCACACTGCGATTGTTGGTGCGTGCGGAGCAAATCTCGCCAACGCACCAGGGGCGCACCAGGATCCCCTTGGTGCAAACAATGATGAGCGTGTCGGTCTGCTGCCCGACGATGTCGAAAAGCCCGTCCAAATCGACAAGGTCATCACAATCGATGAAGGTCCGCCCGTGTCCGTGATCCTCGAGCATGCACTTTAGTAGGCGCGAAAAACATCCCGCAACAGCTTTCTGGTGGCAGACGAAGAACCGGAATCGTTTCTTCTTCTCTGGCATGAGCTTCATGTAGAGGCCATAGGCGACCAAGGACGGAAACGTTAACATCAAACCAATAATGGTGCAGATGCACAACCAGGCAAGTATATGTGGGTCGCTACTGTCGGCATAGAAGGCTGCCAAGTTGATGAGAAGCAAGACTGCGATGACGACACCACAGTCGAGAACGTTCGCTTGCCACACGCGCCAGGGCCTCTGCACCATCGTGAGGCACAGCGACGTGATCAGTATCAGCTGAGTCAACATGGTCTGCATAACGACGTCTGGAACTACAGGAATGACGGAAATGAACATGTTGCGCACGAAGAAGAACACTGAGAACCAATACGCTTCAGCCTTGAAGCGAATGATGAGGAAGCCGACCACCTTCAGGAACCTGATGTCGCCGTTCCTCATTCTCTGTGGGTACACCCTTACAGCCCAGACGTTCAGCGCCAGGAAGGCGATGGGGAGAAGTATGCCGAAGAGTGCCAATATTATCATCGTGGCGTGCTCGCCCCCCTCCCAGCACACAACAGTCTGGTACACACGCACCGTCCAAAGCCCACTGGGGTGGTCGATGCAATGCAGGGGCGCGATCACGATGGACACGGCGGAAATGAAGAACATCATGCACACAGTACCGATGGCTCCAACCAAAGACGAGCGCCTCTCGCGGAACCTGCCCCCGTACTTGAACATCACGAACCCCGCGTGGATGACAGAGATGATCAGCAGTACGAGCACGAGCAGGAGAATCTTAGACGCAAACATGGCGGAGGGGCTTAGATCAATTACGCAATCGATGTTCAGAATCTCGATGTCCAAGACGAAGAGCCGGAACATCCCCAATACCCGGGCCAGGTGGTCGGGCCAATCCACGGACACCATGCTGACAGCGCCAAGCATCTGAATGAGGGTGAAGACCTGAGTCCCCGAGATGGTAACGAGCAACATCGAGTGCGTCTGCTTGGAACGGTCCTGGTTTTCGATGACGTAATATACCGCCGTGATTACCACAAGCATCGCGACGACAGCCAGTACTGCAGGTACCATGTCGGCTCCCTTGCAGGGCACGCAGGTGTTCTTCTGGGCAGGCCTCAAGCCTGGCTCGCACTTGGCGCACTGAATGCCCGTGCGGCCTGGCGCGCAAATACCCACACTGCCTCCAGGGCACCGGCCAGGGTATTCCCAACACCTGAAGACCTCGAGATCCTCGACCGACGCGTAATAGCCATACGGAACACTGGGCTGCGCGTGTTTGAGATGCAGGGCCTCCATGTCCTCGACCCCACCTTTGCAAGCCATGCCTGTCGGGCAAGGCTCGCAAAAGGCCCGGGACTCGTCGTGCATGTCCACCCGAGTGTTGCGATCGGTGCGGCACTCCTCCCCCCTGCACGGGACGAAGTAGCCTTCCTCAACAGATAACACAACCCCGTAAACTCAGCTCCCTTGGCATGCAAATTCGCAACATGCTGATGCATGCGAGGATGTCTGCTGATGTCTGCTATTAGCACATCATGGTGACGCCGATTACTATGAAGATGAAAATGAAGATGATGATGGTGATGATGATGCTGATTACGATTATGATGATGATGATGATGATGATGATGATGATGATGATGATGATGATGATGATGATGACGATGATGATGATGCTGCTGATGATGATGATGATAATGATGATGATGACGGTGGTGGTGAGCGCATGATCGGATAGAGTCGGTGCGCCTGGTGTGCCTGGTCGGTGTGCCTGGTGTGCTTGGTCGGTGTGCCTGGTGTGCCTGGTCCGTGTGCCTAGTGTACCAAGTGTGCCTGGTCGGCATGCCTGGTGGTGTTTGATCGACGTTCGATGGCCAACGTAGTCCATGTGTGTTTGGTGTGCCTTGTGGCCAGCCTCCCGTTGGCCAACCTCTCTCTAACTGCGGCACTGCCATCGTTCAGTTCACAGTGGTTCAGTGCCTGCGCCAGTCCTCATCCTCATCCCGACTCCTCGTCCTACCCCCCCCGCATCTGGGGAGATTAAAGGTGCCGATACAGCTAGTCCCCGGACCTCTCCCTGGGTGCGTTCTGACCAGCATTTCGAGGCGAATCCAGCGGTGGCGACGAAGGCCTCCCATGAAGCCAAGAAAGGGGAAAAAGGGCGAAGAAGGGTACCGGTATTGATATTTTCTCCTCCTCTCAACGTCTGCTTCGTTTCATCCCCGCGCCCGCCCCAGTTCCCGCGGCCCCAGGATGTTTGTTAGCATCGCTGGCTGTTCCAGCGCGGAGCCAATCTTTCGCGCTCTCCCCGGGGAGGGGGGTAGGGGGGAGCACGGCCCCACTGCAAACGATATATGAAGGGGCCAAGGGACACACAAATAAACACACAAATCCCAAGATTCTATACATGTTCCCATGCTCTTGGGATTTTCGTCTTCCCCTCCATTCCATATTCTCTCGGGACTCGACGATGAATTGTGTCTGTGTTTTTCACTCCTGAATGTAACTGTGCCAAGATGGGGTGGGCGCACGAGCCAGCTTTACCTGGGAGTGCGACCGTGATCGTGGCGATCGCCAAGGGTACGGGTCTCTCACTGCAGCTCGGCATCGTTCTTGCTGGGCACCCGAAGGTTGCATTCGCGTCGGCTTGATCAGGGCAGCACCTGGCTCCGAAGGGAGATGGTTTGACCCCCCCGAGGCCGAGGACCCCCTGGGCCCAAGGGCAAAAGCGCCCGATGGCGGCGGGGAAGTTGAAGGCGAGCAGGGGGGGAGACGTACATGAGTAGGGGGATGATGTCTCCCCCAATCATTGCGGCGTCGGTTCCGCATGGCATCATCATGTGTTGCAGCTGCTTGGGCTCAAGGGTTGAATTCGCTTGCTCCGAGGCCCCTGCGAGCCCGAGTCGGCCAGTCGACGGGCCATGCCCAAACGAAGTGCCACTGCCGCAAACGTCGACGCCGAGAAGGGCACGATGGGCAGAGAGATCGGCGCCCCCTTGAAGTCCGCCGACCCCTTGGGGATCATCGGCGTGTGAGCTGCTTCCCCCTCCCCAAACCCCTCCCCTCGGAGCCCGGTCCGGTCGACTTGGAGGGGGTGGGCCGTCCGGCCGGAGCTCACCAGGGGGATACGGCCCTTCCCGGGCTCTGTTTGGAGGTCCACGACAGCTTCTGGGGCCGCCCGAGAGGCCCCCAAGACGATCCAAGAGGGCCCCGACGCCCAGGATGGCCCAAAGACGGCCCCAGAAGCCTCCCAGACGGCCCAGGAAGCCTCCAAGAACATCCCCAAGAGGGGCCCAAGAGGCCAAAATCGTCAAATTCCTATAAGTAAACTTACATTTTTATCATGCACGTGCTTTCTGCCTTCGCGGCGTTGAAGACGGCCCCAGGCCCCCAAGACTGCCCCAAAACGGCCCGACAGGCTCCCAAGAGGCGCTCGAAACGGCCCAAAAGGGCGCCAAGACGGCCCAAGAGGCCCCCAAGACGGCCCAAGAGTGCCCCAACACGGCCCAATGAGGGGCCCAAGAGGAGGAGCCTGAATCAATCCGAGCCTCCAGCCCCAAAACGGCCCCAGGGGGGCCCAAGAAGCGCTCGACAGGGCCCATGGGGCCCCCAACAGGCCCTAAAAAGACCCCCAAGAGGCCCCAAGAGGCCGCCAAGAAGCTCAAAAGAAGCCCCAAATACCACTCGAAGCATGTAACTTCTAACCCGCAGCCCAGGCACCAAGGATCTCAGGCCGACAACCAAGGCACGGTGGCGGGATGGGCCGAAGGCCACTATATCCGCCGCCCCCTGCTTGCAGGGGTGCACGGCGTGCTGGATGATTCAGGTTTTGGTTTTGGTTCTTTTTCTAAAAGAACTCCCCAGTGGGCTTCGGCCCGTCCCGCCGGCCACCCGCGCGTTTCCCAAAATGCGTCTGTCAATGCCCAAAAACGGCCGTTTCGCTCGGGACATCCTCAAAAAATCGCGAAGATGGCCCAAGATGGCCTCCAAGTCCGCCCGAGATGGTCCAAGACGGCCTCCAAAACGGCCCAAGAGAGTCCAAGACGGCCCAAGACGGCCCAAGAGGCCCCCCAGAGGCCTCCCAGACGGCCCAAGAGGCCTCCAAGAGGTCCTCCAGGAGAGTCCGAAGAGGCCAAAATCATTGATTTTCCCTTGGTTTTTGAAGGATTTTGGCATTTGCGCCTTTTCGGCTCTCCGACGGCTCAAGACGGCCCAAGAAGCCCCCAAGATCGCCCAAGAGGCCCCCAAGAGAGCCCCATGATGGCCCAAGTGGCCTCCAAGATGGCCCCTAGAGGGCCCCAAGAGGGCCCAAGAGGCCTCCAACACGCCCAAGATGGCCTCCCAGACGCCCAAGATGGCCTCCAAGACGGCCCTGGAGCATTCCAAGCGGGCCCCAAGTCGGCCCATAGAGGCCCCCCAAACGGCTTCCGACGGCTTCAGACGTGCCAGGAACCCACCAAGATGGCCGAAGTTGGCTCGAAGCTGGCCCGAGACGGCCCAAAAAGCCCCAAAGATCGCCCAAAGCTTGCCCAAGAGGCCTCCAAGACGGCCAAGATGACCTTCAAGATGCCCACGTGTTCCCCGAAGGCTTTCCAAACCGATTCGGGGAACACGTGGTCCGATAGCTTGGCAGGTCTGGCCTCAACGTTCGGCCACATAGGCGCTTCCAAAAAGGCAGGGGGCGGCGGTGATTCGCCGTAGGCGTCTTCGATCCGCCGCCCCCTGTCGATTCATCGCAGGGGTGCCTGGCGTGCTAGACCCTTTCGGTTTTGGTTTTGGTTCTTTTCCCAAAAGGACTCCTCCTGGGGCTTCGGCCCGTCCCGCCGGCCACCTGGAAGGCGCTCAATTCCCCAATCTCGTCGGCTTCTTCGCTCAAGATGGCCGAAGATGGCCTCCAAGATTCCTCCAAGACGGCAAAGGTGGCCTCCAAGACGGCTAAGATGGCCCCAAGATGCCTCCAAGACGGCCCAAGATGCACCCAAGACCGCCTGAGATGGCCTCAAGATAGTCCCAAACGGCCCAAGAGGCTCCCAAGAGGCCTCTAAGATGACCGAAGACACCCCCAAGAGGCCTCCAAGGCGGGCCAAAGAGGCCTCCACGAGGTCCTCCAGGAAGGCCCGAAGAGGCCTAAATCATTCGTTGTCCTTCGGTTTTTGGAGGATTTTGGCATTTGCGCATTTTCGGCTTTCCGACGGCCCACGACGGCCCAAGAGGCCCCCGAAGTCGTCCCAAGATCGCCCAACAGGCCTCCAAGATGGCCCCATGACGGGCCAAGAGGCCCCCAAGACGGCCCCAAGACGGCCCAAGACGGCCCACGAGGCCTCCAAGACGGCCAAGATGGCCCAAGATGACCTCCAAGATGCCCCCAAGACGGCCAAGATGGCCTCCAAGAGGCCTCCAAGACGGCCTCCAAGACGGGCCAAGAGAGCCCAAGAGAGCCCAAGACGGCCCAAGAGGCCCCCCAGAGGCCTCCCAGACGGCCCAAGAGGCCTCCAAGAGGTCCTCCAAGAGGGCCCGAAGAGGCCAAAGTCATTGATTTCCATCAGGTTTTTGAAGGATTTTGAAATTTGCTTCTTCTGGGCTTTCCGACGGCCCAAGAGGCCCCCAAGATCGCCCAAGAGGCCCCCAAGAGGGCCCCTATGACGGCCCAAGTGGCCTCCAAGATGGCCCCAAGAGGGCCCCAAGACGGCCCAAGGGGCCTCCAACACGCCCAAGATGGCCTCCAAGACGCCCAAGATGGCCTCCAAGACGGCCCCGAAGCGCCCCAAGAGGGTCCCCCGTTGGCCCAGAAAGGCCCCCAAGACGGCTCCCGACGGCGTCAGACGTGCCAGGAACCCACCAAGATGGCCGAAGATGGCTCGAAGCTGACCCAAAAGGGCCCAAGAGGCCCCCAAGAGGGCATCCAGGAAGGCCAGAAGATGCCGAAAAGCTTGATTTTCCGGAGGTGTTTGAAGGATTTTGACATTTCCTTCTTTTCGGCCTTCCGACGGCCCGAGACGGCCCAAGAGCCCCCAAAGATCGCCGAAAGATCGCCCAAGAGGCCTCCAAGACGGCCAAGATGACCTTCAAGATGCCCACGTGTTCCCCGAAGGCTTTCCAAACCGATTCGGGGAACACGTGGTCCGATAGCTCGGCAGGCCTGGCCTCAACGTTCGGCCACATAGGCGCTTCCACAAAGGCAGGGGGCGGCGGTGATTCGCCGTAGGCGTCTTCGATCCGCCGCCCCCTGTCGATTCATCACAGGGGTGCCTGTGTGCTGAACCCTTTCGGTTTTGGTTTTGGTTCTTTTTCCAAAAAGAACAAGATGCCTCCAAGACGGCCAGGATGGCCTCCAAGACGGCTAAGATGGCTTTAAGATGCCTCCAAGACGGCCCAAGATGTACCCAAGACGGCCCAAGAAGGCCCAAGAGGCCCCCCAGAGGCCTCCCAGA